TGACTGTTCATCCCTGCTCCAACCACAACCTGCCCGCTGCAGATCCCTCTTCTGACCTTAGGATGTCAAGCCAACAAAGAGGACCTAACCCTCACCCTAAGTATGTAACCTGTTTTCCTGGAGCCCTGGCACAGTCCAGGGGATGTGGTGAAGCTTCCCCTTCACTGAGATGCTCATGTAGGTTTGGTGGCCATAGAGCACAGGCATGAACACTAAGAAGACCCCATCTCTCAGAAACCAGGTAGAATTCCAAGTTTTCTGGCCCCACACACTGGGAAGTGGCCCAGGAGGAAAACCAATGACTCAAATCTTGTCTAGTATTCTGTCTAAATGATAGAAAACTGGCTGTAGACAGGCGCTTGTACCTAACTGACCTGTCCTCAGAAGCTGCATGTTCAGAGCCTGGGGATGAGCACTATGCAGAGGGAAAAAGGTAAACGGTAATTTTAGGAAGGTCCTCCCTGTGTCCTTCTGAAAGAGAGTGTCCCATACGATTCCACAGGAAACAGCAATGAACCATCCCAGGAAGCCCAGTGCTTCCCTCCACCAAGAGCACCGACCACCATCTGCCACAGGCATGGTTGTTACCACACACGTCTGAATGGGACAAGAGGGAGGGAAAGTCAGGAAGTGAGCTCTGGCCTGAAAAAGCAGGTGAGGGTGTGGACCGACTTAGCTTCGTCAAGAGTGGTCAAATGCACTCTGCCATGTCTGCTCCTTGGCACTTTCTTTGTGCACCAAGCCTCAAATGCTCTCCACCTCAGCCTCTAAGAATCCCTGGCTTCCTTCCAGACTTGGTTCAAGCACCACCTTCAACAGGAGGCCTTTGCCTGGCTCCCTGATCTCTGGGGCCTTCCCCTCCAAGGTCACCCTTTTACTCTGTATGTACCTTGAACATGTTGATTTATGTACATCTTTTCTCCTTAATTAGAATGTAAGTGCCTCCTTTTAAAACAATTTTATTTTTAGATCTATATTTTCTCCCTCCTGCTCCCTCACCACCACTGAGAAAAACAAAACTCTTGTTACAGTGTTTGACAAATTTCCCACATTGTTCATGTCTACAAAAAGTCTCAATCTGCATTCCTTCAGTGTTCTGTCCAGAGGTGGGATGTTTCATATTGAGTCCTTTGGAAATGGGGCTGGTCATTGTGTTGATTGGATTCCAAGTTGGTTATCTGTCTTTACAATGCTGCTGTTGTATAAATTGGTCTCCTGGTTCTCCTCACTTCACTCAGCATCAGTTCATATAAGTCTTCCCAGGTTTTTCTAAAACCACCCTGCTCGTCATTTCTTACAATAGTACTCCATCACAGTCATATACCATAGTTTGCTCAGCCAAATCCCAAAGAATTTCCAATTCTTTGCCACCACAAAAAGAGCTGCTATAAATATCCTTATACATAGAAGTCCTTTTCTTTGATCTTTTGGGGGACAGACCTAGTAGCAGTAATGCACCTCTAAAGAACTTTAGGAGTGTAGTTCCAAATCATTTTCCAGAATGGCTGGACCAGTCCATGGCTCTGCCAGTGGCGCACTCGTGTCTTGTTTCCCACAGACTGTCCACCATGTCATTTTTCCTTTTTGTCCATTTTGCCAATATAACGGGCATGAAGTAGAACCTCACACTTGTTTAATTTGCATTTCTCTAATTACTGCTAATTTAAGAACATTTTTTAATATGGCTATTGATAGCTTGGATTGTTTCTGAAAACTGCCTTTGACCTTTTATCAATTAGCAAGTGATTCTTATTCTTACAAATTTCAATCTTTTTTCTACATATCTTAGAAATGAGATCTTTCCTGTTGCCAGTATTTTCCCATTTACCTGCTTCTCTTCTAATTTTAGCAGTATTGGCTTTGGATGGGCAAAAACTGATTCTATCCTACGACTCTCTCTACATCTTATGTGGTGGTGAACTCTTCCCCCCCCAATAGACCCGACAGGTAATTTTTCCTGTGCCCCTCCAATTTGTCTGTAATGTCATCTTCTGTCCAAGTCATGAACCATTTGTGGCCTATTTTGGGTTACACTGTGATTTGTTCTACCAGACAGCTTTCCGGTTTTCCATCAAGTAGGGAATTCATGCCCCAGCAGCTGAGATCTTTGAGTTTATCAGACACTATGCTACTAAAATTGCTGTTGGTGGGTGCCTAATGTGTGCCACTGACTGATCCACTTCTTCCCCAGTCCCAAATTGCTTTGACGATTCCAGCTTTACAGTACAGTGGCAGCCCCCTTCCTTCTTTCCTTCCCATTCTTTTTCATCATCTCCCTTGACAAGAATTTCATTATTTTTATGTGGTAGTTTAATTGGTATAGCACTGAACAAGCCAATTTATGCAGTATGTCATTTTTACTCTATTGGCTCAGCCTACCACAGTTATTTCTCCAATAGTTTTGGCATCTTTATTAGACTAGTTTTTGTCATTGTGTTCATTTAGTTCCTGTGCATGTCTTAGCAGGTAGACTCGGGTATTTTATTCACACAACTCTAGGAAATAGATGCTATTATTATCCCCATTTTAGAGATAAGGAGACTGAGGAAAACAGGTTAAATGTCTTACCCAGGGTCAAACTGCTACTAAGTGTCTGAGGCTGGATTGGAACTCAGTTCTTCCCAATTCCAAGCAGGCACTCTACTCACTGAACCCCCTAACTGCCTCTAGTAGCAAACATGCACATGGAGCACTCCCCATGTTACCTCATTTGATCCTGTGAGGTAGGGCTATGATCATCCCCATTTTATGGATGAGGAAAACTGAGAATGCTCGTTAATCTAAAGGCTCTGTGCAGCAAGGCCAGAAGAGAGGGAGTGAGAAGAGGAAACAGAAACACCAATTCATTTATTAAACACCTGTGTTGACAGCACTGGACCTGATCCTGGAGACAGAGCAGCACCTTGCCCATTCCCCCTAGCCAGCACTCAAACTTAAGGGTTAGGAGTCTCCAGCGCAGGGCTGACTCCCCTCTTCTAGACCTGCTGCTGCTGAGCCCCTGGAGGCGAGTCTCCCATTGACAAGCAGTGAGCCAGGCTCAATGAGGTTTTAGAAAAAGGATTTACAGTCTGTGAAGAGAATGGGCACCATAACATATCCCCAGAGGGGCATACATGAAGTCAACTCAGTGGTGAAAGGGTGCTTTCTCTCTCCAGCACGCTCCATTCCCCCTGGTCCTACAAGCACCCTCCTGAAGACACAGGGCTAAGCCACCCCTTTCCCTATCCTGCTTCTACTGAATGAAGCACTGTCTCCACAATACTTAGAAGCCAAAACTTCTCTGCTGCATCAGGGCCTTTGGTTTGCCATTAACTGCCCAAATTTTGTGCCTTTGTGTATAGTCGCTAGCACCCATGAGCTTTACTATTGCTCCTTTCTTGGATCTTGTTTCCTGTCAATTCTGGGTGTTTCAGGAGCTAGTCTTCCCTTTCTGTGAGTAGGACATTCACAGCAGTCTTCTTTCTGATGACCACCCCAACCCCCTCATCCTTCCTAATTTAAAGTCTTTCTCATTAAATGTGCAAAACGTGAGAGCTATCCCAACACACCAGCAAACCCGTTTTTAAGTTGGTGTACTCTGTCTCTAGCCAGGAATCTGTCATTCAGAAATCCAAATCCCATTCTAAGACATCATCTCCTTAGCTAGCTGTTCACTTCTTCAATTAATTATTGGACAACAGTGACGCCACAACCAACATTTCATAATCATTGGCAACACTCTGGAGGCTCCTCCTGGAAATGTTAGCAATCACCAGAAATAGGCAGCTGTGATGCTTTTGTGTCTTGGGAGATTCCATTATGTCCTGGGTACTTATCTCAAGAGGACAACAGGGCTCTCTAGTCCTGTTAGCAGGTCAGCCAGAGGCTGCACCTGTGTCCTTCAGCAGAGAATGACCACCCACCACTCTCCTTCCTCTGCTATTTACCAAACGAGCTCCTATCTGATGGCTCTAGGAGCCATGCAGGATAAGCAGCTGCCTTCTCCTCAGAACCTCTAGCCCCTCCAGTCCTTCTCCTTCTCTTTCTTTTCTTGGTACCTCTTGTCCATTCTCCATCATCCTGGCAAGGGTGAAATCCTCCTCCTCCTGTACCTCAGAGCCCTTTCTCTCCCCTGGAAGCCTACATCTCGTCTCTATTCTCTCTCTTCTCCCCAACAAGCCGGAGTGTGGACAGGCATCCTTTGAGGCCCTTGCCTTCTCCAGGAGGGAGATCAGCTTATACTTGGAACACGGGTAATTCAGTCTGAGCTACGGCAGAACTGCCAACACCAAAGAGCTTCCCCTAATGCCCAGCCTTGTTTCTCAAACCCTCCTGGCCCCGAGCACGTCAGCAAAACCCCTCCCCCCCAATTCCTTTGCTTTGTCTCAACTCCTTCTATGACTCCAGCTGTCTCTTCTTACTTACCTCACCAAAGAACTCCCTCAATTTCTCCTCCTCAAACTCCACCTCTAGCGGCTTCACTAGTGATTCACTAATGTTCCCCATTACTTCCCTACAGTCACGCTGGTCTTCTCCCTCCATGGCCACCCATTTCCCAGCCTTTGCCTCATCAATGGAAGGCGCTCTCCTCATCTCTGCCAAGGCCTATGAGACTTAGCTCAAACACTGCTTTCCCAGCTCTGAGATGCTCCCACCAAAATCCTCTTGCACATATTGTGTGTGTGTGTGTGTGTGTGTGTGTGTGTGTGTGTGTGTGTGTCTTCATGCTTCAAGGCCCTAAGTGTATGTCATGGAACACAGCCAGCTTGAAACACTCCAAGGGGGCTGTTCTGTGGTAACCTCAATCAATGTTTCCCCCAGTGCCTCACCTAGAGCCAGTTATGAAGCCAGTTTGGTTCTCAGATGCACGAAATCTTGCCTTTCCCTTCCCTTCTCTTCCCTTTCCAGCAAATACCTTATAGGGTTATAAACAGCTCATAGGACTTGCAGGCAGATGAGACCTTCTGCCTCACAAACAGGCGGGGGCTCCACAGCACTTCTTTTATCAGCGCACATTTTAAAAGGGGGGGTTTTAGTATTTATTTCCCAAAGGTTTGATGATTTCACTCCATTTGGCATGCTTTGTTAGGATTGCTTATTATAAGCATCCCTAGCTCAATGGTAATATTTCCACTTCAACGTTACAGAAAATGTCACGCATCTTACAAGTCCCATTCACCGCAACCCCTTGAACAACAAACTATTTAGAAATGAACAAAAATCAGGACAATGTGTCATGAGACCTTCCACCCTCCTTCCCATTGCTCAGCCCTCACTTACAAATCGTGCATCTCATTTGTTTGTTTCTCTGCCCTTTGCTTCTGTAGTCTTCTTCAGCCTAACTAGCAGGATTGCTATCTCTTGACTTGTTTTGTGGTATGGTCTAAGCGAAGTACTTATTTACTTAAAAAGCATAATGCTAAATGGGAAAGAAAAAAAAAGCCAGTGGGTAAGCACAGACAGAAGTGTCTTCTTAAGGCAGAGACACTGGTTATTCACACAAACCCAAGATGTCTACCGCCAGACAAGGTCAACAATCCAGTCCAATCTAGTGCTTTAGGTCAGACCAAAGAGCCCTCCCTTTGAGTAAATGGGACTTTGGTCAATTTTTTTTTTTAAAACTAAACTGACCCGCAAATCCAGGGTAGCTGACCTGGGCCTCAGCACAGTTCTGGTTCAGAAGGAGTGATTACTGACCAGTCTAGGTATCTGATACAAAGCAGGGCTGTCCTCAGACTGGACCTTCTTTCCCTTCTCTGGCCCCAAAGATCAAAGTGTGAGTTTGCCCTAGAGGCCAGTGAGAACCAGCACTTTCAGAAGCTCCCATGCACGCACACAGCGCTGACTTGTTTGCTTCTTGCTGACCAGCCGCCTGGGAACCCTTCCAATAGTCTGGCCTCTTCCACTGGTAAAGATCCATTTCAGGCAGGTTTCATAGCAAAAAAACAAAAACAACCAGATGCAGTTTTTGCAAATGTCTGTACCTGTATAAAAGAAGGCTCTCCTTCCCATGTGCTCAGTGGTCCTGACTTGTAGAATGATACTCTGCCTGAAAGGGGGACACATCCCCACTGTGATATCACTGGGGGGTGGGCGTGTCCAACACGGGCCTGGTGCCCTGGTCTTCTGGAGGAACCACTTCTCGCAGGCAGAGCCAAAGCCCCCATGTCCCCCTCCCCCCTTCCCTGCCCGATCCGTTCCTTCTCAAGCTGCTACTGTGTCGTCAGCTTCTTGCTTTTCTGCGTCACATCCTGTGTGATGCTGCGCAGACGGCCCGAGTGCTGGATCAGGAAGGCCATCATCTCCCCGAGGCCGAGGGGCCCGTGAGCATCTCCGAGCCCATCAAACCAGTGCAGAGTCTTTTTCAGCCGGGCCTGTGTCACTTTCTGGACCTCGAGCTCCGCCAGAAGAGCGTGCTTGGCCCCGAGTTCCGCTTTGTACCGAAGCCGCAGCTGCTCTACTTCCTGCTGGAGAAGGTGGAAGTCCTCTCGGCCCTGAGGGTATTTCTCATGACTCCTGTCTTCGGGGAGGAGGATATTCGGGGGGATGTTCAGCACCAGCTGTAGCAGCACCTGCTCCATCTTGACAAAGAGGCGGTTAAAGCGCTCCCTCATGAAGCGGAGGAAGGTCTCGGTACTGCCGCGGATCTGAACGGCGCTCAGGGTGCTGCCAGGAAGGCTGCTGGCCTTCTTCAAGATGACCTTTTCCACGGCCACCATCACCTCGAACAAGTAGTCCTGGAAGGCGATGTAGATCCTGAGCATGCACGTCTGGGGCGTGAACCCAAAAAACTGGGTCTCATACAGCAGCGGGTTGATGGACATCTCGGCTAGAGCAGAGGCCTTCCCCCCAGGAGGTGCTGACCATCGACCAACGGATCTACTGACCTAGGGAAAAGACAAACAAAGAGACATGGGCACAAAACGGCATCACACAGAGGAGAGCAGACTGGAGCCAAAGCCTAATTCTGAGACTGCATATGTGGTACCTGGAGGCACCTCAGGCCGGGTGGCCACCACGAACCCTTACTGGTGCATGTGGTGTCCGGGTGGGACAGGGGCACCCCGGGCAGGGTCTGAAGAGTCTCAAAGCACCTTTGTCCAGGACCAGAGCTCTTTATGTTGCACGTTCTCCACCAGCCTTGCCTCAGCTTCCCGTCCCTTACATCACCCATCTCCATCGGCTGTGGAGTCAGGGCTCCTTGGCCCCCGATGCCCTCAGCCAAAATGCCCCAGCGGGTCTGAGAACAAAGGTCAGGTGCCCTTCAGTGGCACTCCAGGGGTCCATGGAATTGACTCGAAAGAAACCCTGGGCATCACTGCCTGAGCAAGCGAGGCCCCGACAAGCGCAGGTCTGCTGACCCCCCCGCCCCAAGGGAAGGGTCAGCCATTCACCCGGCCCTCAGACCTACTGGATGCTGCTGCTGATTCCCCTCATGATCCGCCTTAGCTGGGAGGGTTTCAGGAGACTTTGCCAAAGACCCTGTCAAAGTCTGGCTCAGCAGCATCCCCGATCTATCTGTGCAGAAAAAGTCCTGAGACTGGCCTGGGAATGAACAGCCACGGAAGAGAGGAGAGAAAGGAAGGGGAAGGGGCCGCTCAGCTGTGGCCATTCTGGTTTTTTTCTTTAATTTATTTCTTTGGTGATGCAATCTGGGTTAAGTGACTTGCCCAGGATCACATAGCTAGTAAATGTGAAGTGTCTGAGGCCAGATTTGGACTCAGGTCCTCCTGACTCCTAGGCTGGAGCTCTATCCACTGCACCACCTAGTTTCCCCCAGGCCATTCTGTTTTTACATGACACACCGCATCATGACTGTATCATTCTTTGGGGCCTCTCAAGCCCCCAAGGCTCCTCAACCACTCCCCCATCACCCACCCACCTACAGTGAGCCGGAGGCTCCAAAAGACCCCCCCAGCCCCCCCTCCCCAAGGTGATGGGTGGCTTCAATAGAAGCCCTCAACCTTCCCCCCAAACCATAGTGAGCCTGGGGCTCCAAAAGTTCCCCCCAGTCCCCCTACCCCCCCGCCCAAGGTGATGGGGGCTCCAACAGGACCCCCCCAGCCCCTCAACCTTCCCCCCCCCATCACCCACCCCTACACAGTGAGTTCGGATATCAAAACCTCCCAGCCCAAGGTGAAGTGTAGGCTCCAACAGATGCCCTCAAACTCCTCCTATCGCCCACCCATGCACACTAAGCCCAGGGGTCCAAAAGACCCCCTCCCCGCCCAAGGTAATGGGGGCTCCAACAGACCCCCCCATCGCCCACCCACAGTGACCAGAGCCCCCCCCCGGCCGCCCGTCTGGAGTGGGAGAAGGGGGTCCTTCTAAAAACCAAGCCCGCCCACCCCCTACTGCCTCCCCCTCCCCTCCGTTCCGAGCCAGTCCAGCCCCCTTCCACGGCAGCAACGCTGGATCTGGCCTCAGTTTCCTCAGCTGTCACTGGGAGGTGGAGGGGAAAGAGAAGTGACTGCCTCAGGGGAGGCATAGCAGCTGACTCCAAGTCCCAGGGGGCTGTGCGCGCCGCCTGGTGCATCCTGGGAACGCAGCCCGGGCGCCCCAGCCCCTACCCGGGCCCCCCAGCCCCCGCTACCCCGGTCCCTCTGCTGCCCCGGGACGGCGCCTGCACCCTCCGAACATACTATGACAGCTCGAGCGCAGCCACGCCGACTCAGCTGCCGTCCACATCCGGATCCGCTCTGAACGGGGAGCCCGCGAGTTCGCGCCCGCAGCCACCTTCAAACTTCAGGCAACTATTACCCCTGCGCGTTCTGCCCCGCCCCTGTATCCGCCCCCTCGAGATTGGCGTCCAATGAACGAGAGCCATTCCTGACGGATGTTTGGTTTCGCTAATGAGAGCCAGGCGGGAGGAGAACGATCTGCTGGTTGGCTGAGGTTGTGTTCCAGTTGGGCCATGCTGATTGGTGACTCCCGGGGGTCGAGGCGGGACGGCGAGCAGGGACGGGCATTGATTGGCCCATCCTTGAGGCACTCGGCCTGGACCGCAGGCGCTCGGGGGGTGGCATTCTGGGGTTGGGAGGGACGTGCTGCTCGTCGGAGACTTCCCATTGGCGGCGTTCGTGGGCCCGCAGCCCGGAAAGAGGCTCACCGTGTCCCTCCCCCCGGCGGCGGAAGCGGAAGCAGCAGCGGCGGCGGCGGCGGCGGCAGCGCCGCGGGCGCGCGGGGCGGGGCGGGGCGGGGAAGATGGCGTACCAGAGCCTGAGGCTGGAGTACCTGCAGATCCCGCCCGTGAGCCGCGCATACACCACGGCTTGCGTGCTCACCACGGCCGCCGTGGTGAGGGGGAGGCCTGGCGGAGGGCGGGGCGGGGCCGGGGCCTGGAAGGGGAGGCCGGGCGGGGGCCGCTGCGGGGCCTGACTCCGGAGGCGGCAGAGGGTTGGGGGGAGCGTGCCTGACCGGCTGTCTCTTCTTCCCCTCTAGCAATTGGAGCTGATCACGCCCTTCCAGCTCTACTTCAACCCAGAGCTCATCTTCCGGCACTTCCAGGTGAGCGAGGGAGGGAGCACGGTTGCCATGGTTTCGTTCTGGCTGACCTGCACTTGTTAGGCGCCTGCTGTGGGCTCCTACACTTATTAAGCGCCCGCTGCCCCGGATCTCCTTCCTCTCCCGTCCCAGGCAGCCCCTGCCTCTGAATGCGTCCTCCCCGGGCCCGCGTCCTAGCCCTGTATGTGGAGCTGCCCTTTCCTCTGGGTGGGTGTTAAAGGGAAAAAAGCCTTTTGGATTCAGTCTGGGTCAGCCCTCGGAGGGCCAAAGGTATACTTTGTTACTTTCCGTGTTGTGTTGTGTTACATTGTATCACATTGCGGTCCATCCGGAGGGGTCAGAGATCCCCATCTGATGCATAGGTCGGGCCGACTAGGTACAAAGGGATCCTCCAGGTTAGCGTCTAGATCTGGGCTCTTAACTTTTTACCCTCCTCAAAAGCATGTTTCTGCAGGTGCAAAGTAAAATACATGGGGCACCACCGAAAGAATGTTAAAATGCAGTTATCAAACTACAAGTTTTTAGGTTGCCAGTATTGTTGAAATGTCCTCAATGAAAAAAAATGCTCTCTGTATAAAATGCTGCAGATCACAGAACAGGTAGGCTCCCTCAGAGGCCCTGGATGTGAGATCTTAGCAGCTGCAAAGTCTCCAAATGAACAGCTGAACCAAGTTTGTGTGACTTTCTCGAAACCAAGAGTCTGTGGCATGTTGATGAGTTTTCCTCCCTCCCTGCTGCCCACCTGCCGAGCAAGTGTGGTCTGTAGGGGGCAGGCTGAGTGTTTAATTTCTACTTGTGGCGATCATTTTTCCCTTTATGGTTCGAAGGATCAGGTAAATTGTGAAAATGTTTCCCTGCTTTTTCACAGTTACACTCAAGGGGCAGCTAGGTGGCGACCAGCCCTGAAGCAGGAGGACCTGAATTCAAATTCGGCCTCAGACACATAATACTTCTTAGCTGTGTGACTCTGGGCAAGTCACTTAACCCCAATTGCCTCACTAAAAACAAACAAACACACACACACAGTTACCCTTAGAAAAGGCAAGTAGACATGATCTGAAATACAGTTGAAAAGTCCCAACTGTAGAGTTTCCCCTCTGGCTCGTTACTGAAACACTTCTGATAGTTGTATCTGAGTTAATTCAGCTTTTTTTCATTTTACAGATATGGAGATTAATCACCAATTTCTTGTTCTTTGGACCAGTTGGATTCAATTTTTTGTTTAATATGATTTTCTTGTATCCTTTGTCAAATACATGACTGCCAAGGACTGTCAGAAATCCCACATTTTGGCCGTTATTTTGCTGTTTTAACTTTTGCTTATGGCACTGTGTCAGTAAACATTGATTAAGCATCTACTGTGTGCCAGGCACTGTGCTAAGCACTGGGGATACAAAAAGAAGCTCAAACAAATATGTACAAACAAGCCATAGAAGGATAAAGAGAAAATAATTATCAGAGGGAAGGCTCTGGAATTCAGGGCTTGGGGAAGAATTCCTGTAAAAGACAAAGGAAGCCAGGAAGGACAGTAGTGGGGGGGGGGACCTCCACAGAGAAGGCCCAGGGCTGAGAGATGGAGACTCTTGGTTGTGGGCTGGACCTGGAGGCTGGGGGGCAGGGGGTGGAATAAGGTGTCAGAAGCCTGGAAAGGGAGAAGGAGCCAGGTAGGAAGAGCTTTGAATGCCAAACAACGTTTTGAATTTGCGCCTAGAGGCAGTAGGGAGCCAGTGGAGTTTGTGGAGTAGGGGTGATAGGAATGGGGGATGGGCTGGGGGAGGCAACTAGGGGCAGACCCCCATCAGTGATCAGCGTGCGAGGTGATGAGGGCCTGCAGGGTGGGGCCTTATCTGAGAGATGTTGTAGGCGGCCTATTGAGGCATGGGTTAAGATACTGGAGGCCTGAGTTCAGATCTGAAAAATGCTCACTGTCTCTGTGACTGTGGGCAAGTCACCCTCTCAGCCTTGGATTTCTCATCTGTAAAATGGAGAGAATAGCTGTGTCTTTCTCCAGGGTGCTGTGAGGGTCAAGTGAGGTAGTATTTGTAAGAAGCATTTGGTCCAGTGCCTGGGATACAGTGGGTGCTCAATAGATGCTTGTTCTCTTGCCCCCCCATTACGTCACAGGGTGACTATGATGTGTGTAAAGTGCTTTTAGCCAAACAAGCAGGATGGGTAAAGAGAGACTGGGGGCTGGAGACACAAAATGACCTTGTCTTTTGAGAAGAATTAGTGACTGTCATGAAGAGCTGTAGGCTGGAACTCAGCTCAAAGCAGAGTGTCTCGTTCTTGACTTGATGGCAAATCCTTCAGAAGAAGGGCCAATTCTGCTCTGTGTCTGATTGTCAGCAGCAAGGATGGACATGAAGAGACGCCCCCCCATCCCACACCCTGTCTTGGAGGAGGTGATGGAGAGGGGTTGGGGGGATCATAGAGCTAGGTCTCGGGGAGGGCAGCCTCTGCTCCCCCAGCCCAGGGAAGCTCCAGAACCGTACCTCAGGAGGAACCAAGCAGGGAGGAGACATTGGCCTATCTACCCCTTGGGCTGGAAGGTCAGCAGGAGGCATAGAGAAAGCCAGGCCGGAGCAGACAACGAGGAGTGAAAACAAGGCAGGCCTGGAGAAGCAGCAGGAAGGCCTGAGGGCTTGGTTTTCTTCAGTGGGCTCGGGTCACAGCTGTGTTCCGGGAGTGGGTGAGGGGCTGGAAAAGCTCCTTAGGCTTTTCCTACCAGAGGAGGTGACCTTGGGGTTAGATAGGACAGGACAGTGGCTGCCCGGCCTAGGCAAGGCAAGACGCCAGGAATCCCTAGGCCAGCCTGTGCCAGGGGCCGGGGATCAAGACCAGGACAGAACGGAGCCACCCTCCCTGCTTGGGTCCTGTGCTCCCGGGCACATCCAAGGACCTAGGAAAGGAGCTGTGTGCCTGAGTGATGGGATGTGTGCCTCGTGGCTGTGTGTGCTGTTGGGCCATTTTCTTTTTCCTGACTCCACCTTCAGATACCGCTACTGCCGAATGCTTGAAGAAGGCTCTTTCCGAGGCCGGACAGCAGACTTTGTATTCATGTTCCTTTTTGGGGGACTCTTAATGACTGTATCCTTCAGCAGCTGGATGGCCCCTGAGAAGTTGTAAAGACC